TGGCATATGGATGAAGGAAGAATCTGCAAAACTTGCTAGCACTTGTGTTTTGCATTTTCATATCCATAAAGGAGCCATGGTAAGTTTTATTAAGACCTTAGTAGTCTTGTAAGGGTGAGCTAAGAATTTTTTTGATCATCAAACACATTCTAAAGCAGATCTGAACAATTCTTTGATCCTAATTCAGTTGGCAGCCTCATGTGTTGTTATAGACTTGTATGTGTGGTTGTAAAAGACTTGAATGTTATAAATTCAATGTGCTTTGACAGTTCCATATGAGTTTATATCAATGACATCGTTTTCTACTCTTCTACTGTCGTGGTTCTCTACTACTCTATATGACAGTAATGTTGTAGATACCGTCGTAGTACCCTCTCAAATAATAAGTCGATAAATTTATATTTAGCGTCGTGGTACATTGATTCAATATGGCACTGTTTTGTAATATACCGACGTGGATTTCGTGATATTATACGACGCGGACTAAGAACTATTGGTCGTGTTTATTTAGGAGTTAACACAGCGACTGTTTTGGTGAACCGTCGTCTTTACTTTCTACATCGGTGTCTTCATACCTGCTGTTGTTGTTTTTGGGGTCAGACTTTAACTTTGTAGAAAACCTTTTTAATAAGACGACACTTTTTTAGTTGGGTGGGTCATATTTAAAAAATATCCAAGCGAACCTCCATTTTTTAGGTGTTTAAGTTACTTATCCGCAACGGTTTTCTGTTACCGTCATCATTCTAAACACAACGACGGTTTTTTGTTCTATCGTCATTGTTTTCTGATAGTCTTTTTCACTTTTTGTAGTAGTGTCAGGTGTTGTATTCTTGTTTGCAGGAGAAGTAGTGGCATGGAAAAGTGTCAAACAACAATATGTATCAACCTCAACTATGCAGGCTGGATTCTTAGCAGTTTATGAAGCTACTTCAGTAGCAATGTGGCTTAAGAATTTTATGTCAGTGTTGAGAATTGTGGAATCGATACAGAGACCAATCCAGCTGTGGAATGACAACAGTGCTGCAGTTTATTTTGCAAAGGGAAATAAGAGATCATCAGGTATGAGACATCTGCAGTTAAAGTTTTTGTCAGCAAAAGAGAAGATCTGAGATGGTTATACAACTTTGGATCACATTTGGACAGATTCTATGATTGAAAACCCCTTGAACAAAGGTTTGCTTAATCATGTTTTTCATAGGCACGTTAGAAGCATGGGTTTGCATATCAGTTTTGATGTTTAAGTTAGTGGGAGTCAGTAGGAGCCAGAGTTAGTTTTGTTTCATTTAACTAGTTTCAATCAAAGTTGTTATTACAGTTATATTTGATAATATTATTCAAGTTTTTCTTAAAATCGTGTTTTTCAATTTATAAATGTTTTGGCATATGGATGAAGGAAGAATCTGCAAAAATTTTGCTAGCACATGTGTTTTGCATTTTCGTATCCATGAAGGAGCCATGCAAGTTTATTAAGACCTTGGTAGTCTTGTAAGGGTGAGCTAAGCTTTGTTTTGATCATTAAGTTTTCTAAGGTAGATCACAACATTGCTTTGATTCTAATTCAGTTGGCAGTCGCATGTGTTGATATACATTTGTATGTGTGGTTGTAAAAGACTTAAGTTTGGTTGGTCAAATGTTCTTTGACAGTTCCATATGAGTTTATATCAATGACAGTGGCTTCGATAAGAAACTGAGAAGTTTAAAGTCCTAAATTGGCCATTAGGTGATTAATCTTGAGTCACAATGATTATTTGACCGAGTGGAAGAATGTAAGATAGTTTACTATCTTAAACTAAACTCGCATAAAGTGGTCTTCTAATCATTATCGGATTGCAAGACCTGCAGATTAATCAAGGACTTAAAACAATCTCATCCAGTAGACTTTGTATCAGTGTTTTAATTGGATTACAAGGCTAAAGGGGTTTCTAGTTCTGTTAGAATTGGGATTCATTGTTCTATATAAGGATACCTCAAGGAGTTTCTTGATGGGCAAGACTCCTTGAGTGATGTGTATAAATAGAAGAGCTCCCTCTAAGAGCCGAGACACACAACTCATCGAGATATTCACCCCATCTAGAATATTAAGCTAAGGCAATTGATTATCTTAGAGAAGATCTCTCTCCCTCAAGTGTTCATTCCAATGGCATAACAAGGTTAGTGTTCAAGTTTAATAGAGACCGAAACCGGAGAAGTATGGGCACATAACACATCAAGCGGAGTCTTGAAATCAAGAACCCAACGAGGAGTATGATTAATCAAATAGGCAGCGGCCAAGACACCATGTCCCCAAAGATGATGGGGAACATAAGGGAGCGGGCAACTTCAAGTAACTAACAATTCTTACGTTCAAACACACCATTCTGTTGAGGAGTGAATGGAGTGGTAGTTTGGTGAATGATACCTTGATCACGGAAGAAATAGGTCAAGGTATGATTCACATATTCACCTCCGTTATCAGTCCGAAACACTTTAACGCGGACATGAAACTGAATAGACACCATAGCACAAAAATTATGGAAAATATAGGCAACATCATGTTTATTCTTCATCAAATATACTCATGTTAAGCGAGTGCAGACATCAATAAACGTAACAAACCAATGGAAACCCTGAGAAGTCACACGGGCAGGACCCCATACATCTGAATGTACTAACTCAAAAGGCAATGCAGCTTTATTATTACTTAAGGGAAAAACAGTACGGTGGCTCTTGGCCATTTCACAAGTTTCACATTTGAAGCTAGACTCATCACACGAACTAAATAATGAAGGAAACAAATGTTTAGAATAACCAAATGACGGATGTCCTAAGCGATGATGCTACAGCCAAAGTTGTTGCTTGTCTTTGACACTACCACTCTGAACTTTATTAGTGACACAACCACGAACTGCTGCTGCCGGTAACTGTAAGTAATACAACCCCCCTATCCATTTACCATGCCCAATCTTCTTGTGAGTCCTGAGATCCTGGAAAAAACAATAGGTAGAATAGAAAGTAGCTGATCGGTTCATAATTGTATATCATTTTGTACCCTTCTAGCTTATGATTTGGTTATGTTTTTTAGTTAAACTTGTACTTTCAATCCTTTTTGTGTTTATCTTTCAGCTTTAGGGAACAATGATGGCTTTGGATTGGCTATCCATTTACCATGCCCAATCTTCTTGTGAGTCCTGAGATCCTGGAAAAAACAATAGGTAGAATAGAAAGTAGCAAACGTGTTAAGTGTATCAAGTAAACACCCAACAGATAACAAATTGCAACGAATATTTGGAACCAAGAGTGCATAAGACAGAGGTAAAGAATGAGTGAGGTGGATGGTACCTTCACCGGTAACTGGGAAAGGTAAACCATTAGTACTAGTAATATAAGGGTCACGAAGGTTACGTGACAACTCATCTAACATATTATTATCATAAGTCATATGATCAGAAGCACCAGTGTCAATTATCCAAGTATTAGAACCCATATTTGGCATGGTATCGGAGGTACACAGATTTGCAAACAGGGCCAGAGGATGGGCCTCATCTTGAGTCATAGTGCAAGCGACCTTGGGACCATACATACGAGCTTTGTAGTCAGCAAACCAATCAGGGTAGCCATGCTCCTTAAAACACTTTTCAGAGTAATGATCAACATTGCAATGACGACACTTACGAGGACCTTCAAGAGAGCTAGGAGGACTTCCAAAAGGACGAGACTTAGCGGAAGAAGAGAATTTTCTGGACGAGGAGCGACCGGTCGTTGACGAGCTGGGTCCACTTTTAGGGCCATCGAACCTCCTCCAAGCATAGCGAATTGACGGGTGTCTTCCTCCATAACCATGGAATAGGCTTCGAGAGGAGGCGAAACAGGACTAAGAGCAAGGATACGGCTACGGACACCATCATACGGTGGATCAAGTCCTCTAAGAAAATCATAAACTCGATCGGCTTCAATCTCTTTCTAACAACGAGCCACATCAGCAGCACAACTAAATTCATTCGGACGCAGACAATCAATCTCCTGCCAGATAGCATGTAGTTTTTCATAAAACACTTTCACAGATTCACCATTATGACAGATGAGTATGGACTGCCGTCGGAGTTGGAACAACCGAGAACTATTCTGAGTCACAGTATAGGTCTTCCGAGCGGCCTCCCATATATCAAAGGCTACACCATGTTCAAACAAGGCACGAACTGGTTTAGTCATGGAATTGAGAACCCATGACTGCACCAAGCAATTATCTTCTTCTCATTCGGCATAGGCAGCGAAATCTGGGGACGGAGCAGGCTTCTTCCCGTTAATCCAATTTGCCATACGACAACCAGTAATCGTAATAAGCGCACCACGAGACCAAAAGGCATAGTTGGAGCCATCCAATTTGTCAAAAGTAATTGGGGAAGAGTAATCAACCGAAGGACGGTCCTCCTTCGCTTCAGACGCACTAGAACACACCACAGCTTTGGAATCATCACTCATGATAGCAGCGGAAACACAACACGAAGCAGATACAATAGAGAGACATAGGCACGGGCACAAGAAAGAAACCCTAAAAAAAATAGGGCACATAGTAGAACACGGGTGGGGACAACACACACACATGTTACCAGAAAGTCGGCTCTGATGCCAAGTCAAACAATATGAGTAGAATATTTTCAGATGTATTTCATTCTCTGAAAGGAGTTATTTATAATATAATGTTACAAACCCTAGCAGGATTATACTAGGAAATAAGACAAGTCTTAATTACATAATATCTATACATAAGAAAATAAGTAAAATCCTAATAGAATAAGAAGGAAATATCCTAACAGAACTAAGATATCTCGCCAACAGAGTGTTCCTTGGGGGTAAACAAAATCATGATCCAATTCTTCCCTCTCAAAACCTCATTAACTTGCTCTCATTCTATGAATTTTATATATGTTGATAGCATCTGAAGACTGCCATTCGAAAGTAAGAAGTGTTGTATACCCCAAAAAAAAAAAAAAAAGAGATGCATTATTTTTTTTCTCTGGTTTTGCTTCTTATGACACCTGATGGTCCTAATTAGAATGTGTTTTATTCGTATTGCAGAAGGCTGAGCAACAGAAGGTTGGAGAACTGGACAATCAAGCAATAATTTCTTACAAATGAATAGGTAAACCACAAAATTCTCAAGGTGATATCCCTTGGCCGAGAGTGAGACATGAGGGGAGGGGCAGGACACTGAAATTTCCCGGTGAAAAAATCAATAGCCAAAGGCATATATCCACACTGATTAACATTACATGATATTATTTTTGTATTAACATATTCGTTGTGTCATCCCCATAAACAAATGTGTATATATTGTTGCAGTCAAGAAGGGTGGTGAAATCGAAAAGACTGATGAAGAAGATGTTGAAGATGAGTATGGATTGGATAACATTGAATCTTCTGGTGTACGGTCGGATTCTGAACTAAAAGGGGGATCTCATACTGAGAGGGAGCTACAATTAGATGCTGGAGATGCTGGAGGTGATATAGATACACTACTACAATTTTAGCTTATACCGATGGACTAATACTGGCAAAAGAGCAGCTTAGCCAGTACTTGGACCCAATACTGGCGAAATAAAGTCATTTGTCACTACTAAATAATACTGACCAAGTCTTTTGTCATTACTAAATTTACTGACCAGCCCCTGTGCCAGTTTCTTTTAGCGCGGGAAGCAAAAACTTAAGCGCCTAAATTTTCAGAGTCACTGACGAGTTCTATTGCCAATACTATTCTTAAATATAATTGTTAACTTCAATTCTTTACTTAAACTTTTCTATTCCTCCAAACCGACCATCTCTTCCCTCTTCTTTTCATTGAAGAAGGAATTGTACTCTTCCTTAAAGCTAGTGGAGTTGGAGGAATGTGTGAAAGTGATTTTCATGTCTGCTGGTTCAGATTGAGAGAGACAGATTAAATTTGGGGGTTTTCTTTGCTATTCTCAATTGGGGTTGTTGATTCAGATTGAGAGAGATAGATTAAATTTGGGGGTTTCTTTGCTCTTTTCAGTTGGGGCTGACTTGGTTGTTCTTCTTTAAAGAGAGCCCCTGTTCTGGTGAGATTTTTGTTCTTATTTTGTTTTTTTATTTTATTTTTTCAAGTATTTGAGAATCGGTAATGACCCATGAATCCTTCCAATTAGTTGTATAGATGAAGCTTGATTACATCCTTTGATTTTTCAAAGCTCTTGTTTTAATTTTTTATTATTTGTTGGTGAAGTCTGATGTGTGGGTATTCATGTATTATTCTATTGTAGGAGTGTTGAATTTTTGTTGGAAACTTGGAATCCAGGTGTGTTTTCCTTTACTTTTTTATATTATATGGTTGTTCTCTGATTATTGTATTGAGATTATCGGGCTTTCATCTATGAGTTGATATATTTTGTTTCATATGTATACTTTATTTGTCGTTATGACGTGAGTTTCTTTAGCTATTAAGTGGGTCTAGTTGTTTGGTGTTATAGTTCTTTTCTTCAGTTGAATGAATATGCAATTTTTTAGTTAATATATTCTTTAGACTCAGGTTTTTGTTATTTTAATTTGGTTTTACTTGTGAATTGAAGTAGATGGTAATGAGGGTCATCCAATGGATAATAAATTGACCCACCTGATAGGAATTTATAGACAGTAAGTATGAGGGATGATCTGTGCTGAATAATTGTATTTGGTGCCTTGCACTCAATATTAGGTGAACTATGGATAAAAGTTGGGTACATTTGAGGAGAAATTGTAAGGAATACGCAGATGGAATGAGAATGTTTTTAGATGACGTCTTTGCCAAAGTGGGTTTTGGAGAGAGGGTCATATGTCCTTGCAAAAAATGTTGTAACCGTTATCGCTATGAAAGAAACATCATCCAGCTGCATCTTATAGAAAAAGGAATGGATCCCAGATATATGAATGGCCCTTGGAGACATCATGGGGAGCCCATGACAAATTTACCATTCCAAGAGGATATAGAATCAGTTCACAATGAAGAAGTTTGTATAGATGACATTCATGATTTTCTCAATGAAGCCTTTGTGCAACCAATAATTGGAGAAACTGTTGGGACTTCGAGAGAGCCACCTATCTTTGATGGCCAAACACCTGAGGCTGAAATGTTTTATAAGTTACTTGAAGAAGCAGATATGGAGTTGTACCCTAGGTGTAAATATAAGAAATTGTATTCTGTTGTAAGATTGTTCCAGATTAAATGTTTAGGGAACATGAGTGATAATGTCTTTACAATGCTGTTACAATTGGTTAAACAATTGTTGCCAGAGGGGGATTGTTTACCAAAAAATAATTATGATGCTAAAAAAATCATTAGGGAGTTGGGACTCACAGTTGAGAGGATCAACGCTTGCCCCAATGATTGATTTATCTCCATTTGGCAGAGTTATCAATGATAATAGTCCCCATTTTTCTAGATACATGGGTATTCTAGCACGGGATGCCAATCTAATTCCGATCAAGTATTTAAAATGGGAAAAAGTACCAGACTCCTGCAAACTTGATGTTTGGGACACTCTACGGGTTTGTTATTCCTAAAATTATTGAGTTTAATAGGTATATTTCAGGTTGATGTAAGACTACCTTATTGTGGATGCAGGGCACCATTGAATTTCGTCCTGAACAACAACCTATGATTCATGTCTTCAAGGATGTAACAATGAAGAATATTGAAAAATTGTGGAGAAGTTTCAAGAGTGATTTGAAGAAAGCTTATTATAAGCCTTTCATAGGAAGTAAAAGACGGTGGCAATGTGGGGATTCTCTTGTAGACCCAGATCAATGGCGGGTGTTGGTTGAACATTGGGAAAAAGACGAGATTGTAGTACGTATTATTACACAACACTCAGTATATATAATCTGTGCAATGATTAAGTCTGTTTTGTTTTTGCTAATAAAAGGAACAAGCTAAAAGAAATGCTGAAAATTGGAGTAAACAAACATTGAATCACACATCTGGCACAAAGTCTTATGCTCGCAGCAAAGCACAATATGTAAGTTTTGATGATGCACTTGAATGTTTACTCTTTGCTATATTTAAATACTGAGCATATGAGGTTGTGTTAGCTAATTGATTATCTTTTTTTATTTTATTGATTGCATGCTAAGAATAAGAAACATGGTGAAGACCCTGATCCTATTTGGTTTTTCCAAGATAAGCATACTCGGCGTGACGAAGATCGTTCATGGGTTAACTTGGTGGCTGAGCAGAAATATGTAAGCATATGGACTATGTATTGGAATAATTATGTATAAGTTCATTTTCATGAGGAATTGTTAGCCATAGTCCAGGATGTTTCTCTTATTTTGTTTTGTTGACTTATTATTTTTTTTTAAAAGCATATGGAAAGTTGTTTGGAGGTAGTTTTTTTTTCTTGTTCACCATTCTTTATGTTCTTTTATTTGTTTAAGCACATGAAAAACAAAATAGTAGAGGTCCAGAAGACTAATTGGCCTAATTTTTTATTACATAATGCAATTCATCATTGTAGAGTTTATTGGGCTAGTTCTATGATGACTGCAATTTGATGGAGAAGGATATATATATTTCTTTTTTGTTAGGCTGAAATGCAGGAAAAGTTGAAGTAATTGGTTGAAGATGAATGTCCTGATAATTTAGAGACACGAAGAAGGGCTTATGTTGAGGCAATGGGTCCTGAGACAAATAATAGTGTTCGTTTTTAAGGGTAGATATAGCCGGGTGTCGATACTTTATCAATGAAATGGTCGTTATTCACTGCAATTGTAGACAGGAGCTGGAGAATGGAATTGAAGCTCAACTCCTACATATAAGTGCACGGTTGCATGAGACTTACAATACCCCACTGATCAAAAAATTTACTTTCGATTACGTTGCTGTAGATGGTGATGAATGGATTTTACTCTAAATGAATGAGATGTTTTTTGATATCTTTTTGCAGCATGTACGCTATATTTTCGCCTTCGATGTGCTTCTAGAGATAGATGATTATAGGATCCAGCTGTATAAGGTAGATGATTTTGATGGAGGGATAGACCACTTGCTTGGGCATGTGCGAGTTTCTGGCCACAATGGCATTCCTAGTTTGGAGGAGACGATTAAAGGAATGATCAGGCTACATTATCCTTAAAGTGAGTTCCTGGTCAGGTATTACAGTTTTGAAGACATATCCGACGACTCTAACAACAATGAGCCTCGTAACATTGTTCAGCTGGACGTATCCACATTGGGTTGGAAAGAATTCGAATTCGAATTAGACTTGGTAAGGGTAAAGCCTTGCAATCCTCCTCAGTTTCAGTAGGTAGCAATACTCTAAGAAAGGCAGGTAATAGTCCAGAGTTTCGTAAACTTAGTTGTAGAGGGAAGAATTGAGTCATGATTTTGTTTACCCCAAAGGAACACTCAGCAATAGGAGAATATATATACCAACAACATTTTTTTCAAGAGTTCACTTACCGCACCATCTCTAACTGGGGCTTCTTTGTTTGATGTTTTAACTGGCGTTCTCCTTGAAAATGATTGTGCAAAAGATAAGGAGTGTTCTGGATGAACCCATCTTAAGTTCTTGGAAAGATGTAAAATTGTTGCATCATGATTAGGGCTGGAAATTGCCTCCGCCATCCTCTTTGAACCATTAGTGACAAAGATCAGTTTCTTTCTATCAAAATCATAGCATATAGAAATTTGTATCATATCTCAAAAATAGAAGGAAACCAGATATATAGCAAAAGAGATAAATGAATGAGCAGAGAAGGCATGAAGTTGCAAAGATATAAGTAAAGACCTAGTAAACTTAAAACTACAGAAAATCACAAGTTCCAAATTTGGAATACCCAAAAAAAATCCGTGCATTTTTTAATAAGTAAATTGATACTGATCATCAACTCTTACAGAAAGCAGATACGATTTAGGGGAAGGGGGACTTGTTTAACAAACACCACGATTTAGGATATGCCGTCCTGCAAATCCCAAGGAGGCCGCAGCTGAAGCAGATCAGATGGGTTTTTGAAACTTACCGTGTACTTGTCGTCCTCAAACTTCATCACAACCCCCACCCACCAAGTATCAAGGTAAGAGGCGTCTACGACGTCGGCTGGCTCGAAGGGCTGGTCAGGATTGTCAGGAGGAGGCGCTGGCCGGATGGAGCACACGTCAACGAGCTCAGTGAGTGGCTTGTTTGGGTCATCGTCATAGACCAGATTATTGTACTGCGCCAGAGCCTTGCTTGAGTTGCCAAGGTTGTTCCTTTTGTTGTTTGTGGCCGGATCTGATGGTTCGGGGTCAAGGATTATGGCTGACAACCATGGGACCTCTGTAACCCTCTTCGTTGCTACAAACTTCCACCTTTGAATCCTTGCTCAAATGCGCCTGCCTCCGCTTCACCATTGTTTTCTCTCACTTTCTCCAGACATAAAAAACACACACTAGATCTAGTAGTATTTAGTAGCAGAGCGGTCAGGGTCAAATTTTGGGAGAAAAGTGGGATATTTTTTCTCTCACATCTGGTGAAACGACTGATCGTTAAATTTTAACGAGTTATCGCGTAAATCAAGTTTCCTTGGAAACGACACGGTTTAGTCCCACTCAGAGTTGTTTTCTTGGATTGGAATCGGATATTTCGGTTATCGCTAGACCCACATATATTTTGTTGGGCTTCAGCCCACCTTCATACCACTTTACATTACAATATGAAGGGCTAGGTTCTAGTGAGAACGTCTTTTTGCGAACAATTGGTGCGAACTTCTATCTACACCGTTGGATAAGCTTTGATGGTTGAGAGTATAAGTTGGGTCCAATTAGGTTTCACATAGAAACGGGTATTAAAAAAAGGGAGTTTCACTAAAACATCCAAAATGGGGGCTGAAATTATAAAAAAACTCAACACCCAAAACACTTTATAAACACACCCAAAATCCATCATACACACACTCAAAACCCATTTATAAACACACCCAAAAAATATACAATTGTTGATTTTGGGTGTGTTTCTATGTTTAAATAGTGTTTGGGTTTTTTTTATAAATTCATGTCTAGGATTGGGTTTATTTATAAATTTGTATTAAAAAAAACCCACATACTCGGATCATCTTCCTCTCTTTCTTTTATTTTTGGGTCTGGATATCATATTCATCTCTTTCTTCCACCTCTCTTCTCCATATTTCTCTCAATCTCTCTTACCCAAACTCCATCAAACACGCCACCTTCCCCAATATCCACCTTACCATCTTGCCCAGCCACGTCTGTTGATCTCCGCAAATCTCCTGGCCTAGTGCTCTGGGCCGAAGGGATCTGCGTCAACACGGGTCGTCCTTCTTTGGTACGATGTGGTTGTGCGCGGGCGTGGCAACACGATCTACCGTGCATTCGAGGGTGATGCGAGTGAATGGGTGGATGAGTTGCGCGCTTGTTTGAGTTTAACTTCTAATCAGAGCGATTGTGGCTGAGAAAAGAACTGGTCTCGGCCGTCAGGTTCACGGCCTGAACTACAAGGCCGTTTAAATGATGGCGTAACTGGTGGATTTTCAGGTGGTGCTCTGGTACGCCGTTGGATTGCAATGGTCGTATGATATGTGGGATGAACAGAAAAAAAAAATATCGAGGATGGTGCTCCAGCGCTTTAAAAACCAAGGGTCGTATGATATATTGATGAATGAATTTTCCTACAAGCTGTCACTACTCCTAACAAAGCAAGTAAATGTACTAAAAGTGCATTACAGGAATATAAATGACAGAAGGTAAATGACAGGAAAATATAATATGCTCCGTTGGAGGCTTGTGTTTGGTGTCGACCTCTTAAACGTAGTTGGAGCCCGGTATTTATAGGAGAGGTCCTGAGAAGACAATAAGGCTGAAAATTTGCATGATGAGGTTGATCAGAGATAGTGGGTAGTCGAGCTGACATTTGGGAACGTGAAGTATGGTGGTGTGACCCCCCATAAATCCCGGTCGCCGCCCTGATTGTGGGTTCTGCGTCTTGGGCCTTGGAGGAGCATTTAATGCTCTGGTCTGATGGTTGGTGACTCAACCTCACAAGTCATAAGATTTTCGCACCTAATCACCCTGATTTTACTCATCATATCCTGACTTCAATCACTTCCTCTCTTCCCTTGTGCATTAAATGCTCTTACGTGGATCGTGGGTCCTCTGCTATAGTCAGGGGCGTTACTTCGTTAAATGAAGTGTGGATCGTGGGTCCTTTGCTTTTTAAACTGCAGAATACTCACAACTCATCAACATTTGGGTGGAAAATCTTGTTCATGAAGCCAATAGAAGGAGATTTATATGTATATGCATCGGGATAGGAAGCTCAACGCGGATTTTCCAAACCCCGCCTTCATAAAGACCAGCAACCACCACATCACACAGAGTTTATTATACCAAAATATGTTTTAAATAATGTCTAAACGAAAGCTAATAGGCATTAGAGCCTCCGCCACTTAAAGACTAGTGGAGAAAAAGGTAACATTAGTTTCCAAAACGCATTCATCTAAGAGCAAACTCAATTGATGTCTACCAAAAGACAAACAAAGATGAAAGACTTTCCATTTATTGTCTCCACATTAGAGTCACTCATCATCCTTAAAAACATTAAAAAAAAAGACATTAAACATACTGCTCCATTGGAGGCTTGTGTTTGGTGTCGACCTCTTAAACGTAGTTAGAGCCCGGTATTTATAGGAGAGGTCCTGAGAAGACAATAAGACTGAAAATTTGCATGATGAGGTTGATCAGAGATAGTGGGTAGTCGAGCTGACATTTAGGAACGTGAAGTATGGTGGTGTGACCCCCCATAAATCCTGGCTGCCGCCTTGATTGTGGGTTCTGCGTCTTGGGCCTTGGAGGAGCATTTAATGCTCTGGTCTGATGGTTGGTGACTCAACCTCACAAGTCATAAGATTTTCGCACCTAATCACCCTGATTTTACTCATCATATCCTGACTTCAATCACTTCCTCTCTTCCCTTGTGCATTAAATGCTCTTACGTGGATCGTGGGTCCTCTGCTATAGTCAGGGGCGTTACTTCGTTAAATGAAGTGTGGATCGTGGGTCCTTTGCTTTTTAAACTGCAGAATACTCACAACTCATCAACATTTGGGTGGAAGCTCAACGCGGATTTTCCAAACCCCGCCTTCATAAAGACCAGCAACCACCACATCACACAGAGTTTATTATACCAAAATATGTTTTAAATAATGTCTAAACGAAAGCTAATAGGCATTAGAGCCTCCGCCACTTAAAGACTAGTGGAGAAAAAGGTAACATTAGTTTCCAAAACGCATTCATCTAAGAGCAAACTCAATTGATGTCTACCAAAAGACAAACAAAGATGAAAGACTTTCCATTTATTGTCTCCACATTAGAGTCACTCATCATCCTTAAAAACATTTAAAAAAGACATTCAACATAGCTTTATATTGTATGAGAGAGGAAGGCAACAACATGATTTAAATTACTTGTACCAACAAGACTACAGATTCCCCTTTGGTACCAAAAGGGAGGAATCCAGTCTTAAGAAACAAAAGACCCAGATTACAAAGGTTGGAGATAATACAGTGACCAACAACTTACAACTTCATGACATCCATCTCTCTCCTCTTTCTTGGAGACGATCGACATGTAACTGGATAAATTAAATTCCCAAACCTTTTAGAAATATATCAAAATATAATCAACTTTCAAGGAAATAAATATCAGAGAAATCAAATCTATTAAACCATAGATTGGTTATAAAAATATAGTATGGAGGTTGAAACTGAAACTGACTAATATTGAAACCATGGGCAGTGACTAATTCGATGTCATCTCTGTACAGACCAACTTTGGCTACTAAGCTACCAATCCTTTCAAATCCTTCATCACACAACATCAAATCAAGACCATTTGGCAAACCCCAAAAAAATTTCCACAGCCCAAATAAATCGAAACCCTAGCTATAGAATACCTTTTTCTCTATATGGAATTGGGAATGAGAGAGAGAGAGAGAGAGAGAGAGAGAGAGAGAGAGAGATAGAGAGAGAGAGAAGGGGGTGTTGCGTCGTTTCAGCTACATCCTCAACTTGTGATATTCGCAAATGCACGAGCCGTTGGTAGTTTAGCATATGTAAGTGCGAGGTCGATTCCACAAGGATTGATGATTGAATGATCCAATTCAGCTTCCCTACACAAAACAGAAATGAAAACAAAAGAACATAAAACAAGAAAAGAACTAAGACAAGTTGTGCTTCTTGCAATTGCCTCCATATGCTGTTTCAAAAGTAGTCATCTATGACTTGCAAGAACAAAGTTAGCTTCTAGATGTTTAGACAGTGTCTGTGCTCAAAGGTGGGAAACAAATCATCCACTGCATCTATCAAACATTTTTGCTTATCGATGATAAACACATATGATGAGTTACTATTTTGTATTCCAAGATCACTTGCCATGGTTCTTTGTTGCTTCGATTCAGCTGCACCAAAATAGATTCAGCTGCATCCTCAACTTGTGATACTCGCAAGTGCACGAGCCACTGCATCTATCAAACATTTTTGCTTATCGATGATAAACACATACGATGAGTTACTATTTTGTATTCCAAGATCACTTGCCATGGTTCTTCCATTCACAGCTGAAGCAAAAATAAACCAAGGGCAAGTGCCTTTGACCTCTTCAATCCCATCACACACTGTCACCATTATTTTGTTTGAATTTGATCTTTCTTATGTTAATAACTGCATAAAAAACTGTTTACTCAAATAAACAAGAGATAACTCAACATAAATCCACTTTAAACCTAGACCACAATGTCAGACAACTCTTTACTTACAAATTTGTTGACTAAATTGCCCCTCCACAACTAACAGAAGTTAAAAAAAATTGACAAAAATTAAGGATTGTCCTTGAATTTGCTTTACATTGAGACAACAAGGACAAAATTGAAACGAAAGGGACTAAAATAGTGATAGTGTCAAACTATAAGAACCAAAAATGACTTTTTGCCATATACATTTACTAACAATCTAGACCGTTAATTGTTTTTTTAAAAGCCCCCAGATATCTGGACCGTCCAATCCCATTGGACTCACTCTCTCCTCCATCATTTTTGCATTCGACGACGCCTCCCTCCCTCCCTCCCTCTCTCTCTCTCCCAGTCGACTCGACGAAACCACCACCACACCACCTCCAAATCGCCGCCGTCCGCAACCCCCACCTCAATCGATCTCTCTCTCTCTCCCTCTCCCTCTCGGTTCCTTTCTCTCTCTGTCCCTCGCTCTCTGTCTCTCTCCCTCATTCAGTCTCAGTGAGTGAGTTGAGCGAGAGAAAAACGGATTTTCTCACGCTCTCTGGCCGCATCCACCTTCAAGAGACACAAGAGAGGTAATTTTCCGTTTGATTTTGAGTTGAGGTTTGGTAATGTCGAATCAGGGTTTCAATCAGCAATGGGGAGATGTTCATCAGTGGGCTTGTGATTGGAATAGCAAGAGTTACATATTTAAGTGTCTGATCTCTCTTTGCCGATTGCACAATTGTTTTTTGTGAGGTATCTGCAGGTCATATTAGTTATCATTTTAATTTGTATTGTTCATTCATTTTTTTCCTTTACATTTCTTCTTCTAAAGTATGTATATAGACTATATGTATTGGAGATTTTCTGCACTGAAATAAAGTCAATGTCATATCTGTATCTCACTTTGCTTCTTTTGTATCGTTGTGCTCTATTATGTTTGCTAATGAAATTCCATATCTATTTCGACAATGTTTACTGCAGTTGGCGCCAATGGGTCGGGAAAGACGAACTTCTTCCATGGTAAGTAGCAAGGACTGAATGATTGTTGCAGTTGTTTTATCCTTTGGTTGATAGTTTTGTCTGGAACCGTTAACACTTGTTCATTGACATTTTGTTGGATTTGAAACATGTTCTTTTTGCAGCAATTCGGTTTGGTTCTCAAGCTATCGTGTTTAGTCATTTGCTTAATAAACAATTTTTGTTGCAATATATGCCATGATTGAACAGGAAGGGGCAGGTCACCACAGGTCACTCTTCCTTCCCCGAATCTTCTCTCCCTTTTGCTCTGTACATGTATGCGTTTGTCTTTTGCCTTGTGGAAATAGGAACTCGACAGAGAGATGCTACCTTCAAGTGTGGCTTGTGGTCATTCAACCCAACTTACATCTCTTTCACAGTTAGTTATGAGTCTTATGTAAAAATATTTTTGTGTGGGAGTAGATGTGCTTCCAGGATGCCAAATCATGGTTTTTTTTTTCTTGGTGCATGGGTTGGGTCGATGCTCATGATAGGAATCGACCATAATGTGCTTGCACTTGCAACTTATTTTTTTTTCTTTAAATATAAATCTTGTTTTCAAGTTTTCCAAAAGATTTTGGAGCGACAAAGTGACTAGGGTTTACTCTCCGGTCTCCGCTAAGTTGATTCAGTCTTGGTTGATGCAATTATGTGGACAAAACCACGATTTTATCAAGGTTTAAAGATGTAAGTGATACTATGCCTCTGTCTTTGAGAAAGATTTTTCCGAGATATTAAATCTTATCTGGAAGAGTTTAGCATACCTGTGTAAGGAACAAAAACCACGGTTTGCTTTCATTAGTCTATTCTAGTCATGCTTATTGCTTTCTTTTCTATCTGTGAATTGGGGAAAGATTGCATCAGTTAGTTGAGATGAAAAGGCAAGAAAGAAGAATGTAGTCCCATGTCCAGGTGGATCAGTGCCCCTTTTTCTTTTTATATTTTCTTTTGGCATGTTCTTGACTTGTGCTAACAACCTCGTGCCCTAGGCAAGTCATAACATGCCTATGTCAGGCAAGGCTTTTTGGAAAAAGATATAGACTTATTATTTGTTTAATTGATTGATTTTCCTTTTGAGCTGTATGTCAAATTAGGGCTGTTAATTTTTCATTTCACTTTTGGTATTGGAAGTTAAAATACCTAGCAAACTTTGGATTAGTTTATGATTCATGTTGAAACTGAAGTAATGTCTAAACAAGTAGTGGATCCGTGTTTGTTGGAAAAACGTGCCATGCTGTATGTAATGGGCACAGCTTGTGCTGAGTGTAGTTGTTTTACAACTTTATTTGATTTGTGTGTGTGTTTCCTCTCTCTCTCTCTCTCTCTCTGTGACATGTGCATAGAGGTTCGTCAGGGGGTTTCCAAATACTATGTTAGGGCATAGTAGAATTAGAGCAAGGTGGAAAATAATTAGGTTTTTCTTTTCCAAGTGCCATGTTAGGGCATACCAAAACGAAATCGATCCCCAGACAATCTGTAGGTCCTCGTCCTTAAAGCCGTGAAAAGTCCTCCTATTTCCTTCCAACCAAACTACCAAAACACAACCATCTTAAAGCCGTGGCAATATTTATTTTTTAAAATTATTTTCTAGATGCGAAGAAGGATGAGTAATTCTTGCCAAAAGATTTTCTGGATGCGAAGAACCATTGGTTTGAAGAAGGATGAGTAATTCTTGGATGGAAAACACATCACGTGAGTGTATATAATTATGGGAAAATACTTAATCTGCTGTATATTACGTGGTTTGATTAATTAACCCTTTTCTATGGTTTCTGTTATGGAATATGACACTATTTATGTCAAGGAACTTCAAGATGCTCGCCAAAAACTGGCAGAGTTTAGTCGATGTTAGACGCTAGGCCATTTAAAAGATTTGCATCGCTTTTGTTTAAATTGCACTTGATAAGTGTTTTTTTTTTCTTTTGTTTATTGTTGTAAACTCTGTTTGTGGATCATAATTGGGTAGCATATGGAATTGAATGCCATTGCATGCATTGATAGTAGAATAGAAGAAAAAGGTAATCAAGGCCCTCACTCTTCTTTGTGCTTGTTTCTTTTTATTGTTGTATGTTTGATGTCCAGTGTTTGTCTGAATCATAAATGGTTATCCATTCGGTGTTTGTGCTTCTGAATGAGAATTCTCACTCTACATCTTTATAGAGTTGGGCAATGTCGTTTTGATAGTTATTCTGTTTAGGAAGTTGAATAATGAATAAAACAGGGAAAAAAGCTCCAGTTTTATGGTAACAAAGTAATTTGAATGAAGTACCACAATATAAATTGTACGGATATATATCTTGTGTCCAGAATTTCTCCGTGTGCTAAGGCACATGCACAACGCTTGCTTCTTAGGAATAGGGCTGTTTTGGGTTACCGGTTGTGGTAGTTTGTTATTCAAAAGTAAGCTGACAAAGTGAAGTTCTGGGTTTTTGGAAAAAAAAAGTGAGGTTGGTTTGCAGTATAGTGGGTGAGATTCTAGGATTGTCAGTGAGATTTGTTTCGTAGTCCTAGATGCCATGAGTTTTATATAGAATGTCAAGCAAGTCTGTCCAATTACTGGAATATGTTCAGATCATAGGAGAAGTCTTTGGTGGAGGTGCTAGAATATATTATCTCACAATTGGTTCTTTTGTCATATAGAATAATGGAAGGGGAGAAGCAGCTTAGCATACTTTATCAAAAACAAGGTTGTGCCACCCAGTTTTCAAGTAAAGCTGCTCGTGACAAATGTCTCCAAAAGGAAATTGATGATCTCGAGCGAGTTCTTTCTTCAAGTTTGGCACAGGTATACTGGCTTCTTTTTTGAGTGTATAATCCACCTTAAATGTCATATCAGGTTTGTAGTTCGAGTACTCCACCTGCCGCTTTAGTATGTCTTGCTTAATTCCAACTACTAGAAATAGAACTGTATGCATTCTTTTCCTAGCAATTGTAAAAATTCCTCTCAGATAATTCTGGAATAAAAACACTTCCCAGTTGAGAATTTTTTATCTTTTATCTTATCTAATTTTTTTTAATGTTCATTTCTTTTATTTTGTTTAGATTCTTATATATGCAGATTTAATTAATATCCTCTTTTCTTGGATTCAAATGTTTCACTTTGAATTGACCGTCATTTCTCAAAACTTTTTGGCAATAAGACGCATATGAGACCACCAGGTTGCCTACCCCAGAATCACTATTCTCTTGAGAATATGAGCCCATATCCCATTTAACCAAATGCTCCTTGCTCTGCTCACCAAAACCTTCCCACAAAAAGCGCTTTTTAAAATTTTCAATTTCTTAGCACCTTTGCTTGGAATCCGAAAAGAGAAAGGTAATTGGCACATTGTTTATGACTGATTAAATCAAAGCCAACCTTCTCTAGACAGAAACACTGTTTTCTACCTTTCAACCTCTTCTCATTTTTCACCACAACCAGATCCTGGAAATTTACTACTTGTGGATTACCACCTAGCAGAAGGCCAAATATTTCATAGGCCAACTAACTGCCATAATGCTTTGGCAGTTGTGTTTGATTGTTGCTCGGGAGTTTTCTTGTGTCATTTGTTGTTCTGCTTTGTTTAGATTGCTTTGTTCGAGTGTTTAGTATCGTGGCTGGTTCACTTTGCTGATTTGGAATGTCACTTGACATTCCTCCTCCTACATCTTTTGTTCTCGCGCTTAAGTTTCTAGTAGCTTTATTTGCAGCATTTATAAACTGTTCTAAATTGCATACTGTATTATGTTTACCTAATTTATACTTTATTGATTTCTCACTCTTAGATGTTCCAGGAGCAAAAAAACTTCAGGATGAACTTAAACGGCTTAATGCCGAGTTGAGCGAGCGGGATGCCTACATTGATTCTCGAGGAAGAGAGATTGCTACTATTGAATTGAATCTCTCATCTCTCAGTCACATGCAGTGTTCAATCATCATAAGTCACAGAGGGACAAGTTGCAGGATGAGCACAAGTATGAGTCTTTTGTACTTAATATTCTAGATGAATTTATCGTAGTCATTCCAATATGATTGGTTTTCTTTGCTTATTGTCTTAGGTCCTTGTGGAAGAATGAAACTGAACTTTCTGCTGAAATTGAGAAGCTGATAACAGAAGTTGAGACGGCTGAAAAATGCCTGGATCATGCAACTCCTGGTGTGAGTAATTGCTTTCCTAACCCTTTGTAACTTCCAGTGTGCTAAACATGGCTGTCTTGTTGATGTATAAGCCCAAGTAACAGTAATTCTGAAAGTGTGTCTTTTGATATGCATGCCATGGATATGTCCTGCATAACTTTTTTATATTTGTTTATGTGCTCTGTTTGCTGACTAACAGTATGATGTTGATGGCTTTTGGCAAAGTTTTATTGTGGTCACCTTCTGTGTTCAAAATTGTAACGAGAGAGGTGTAAGGAAGAAAGGAGGGGTGCAGATGTTGATTTAAATGTAATGCGGTTTTGAAGAATGGGAGAAGTGAGTTAAGCATAACATAAGATTTTCAACTTATACTGTAAATTAATTTCATATGTATGAAACGTAAAAGGATTAAACAATTCAAAGTGCCAATAGATGTTTAAACATAAACCCTAAAAAAAAATTATCTTCTTACTAGGGTAGTTTCCTATCATCTTCTAGGGGATCACAAGACAACAAAAGTCCCATTCCAAATCCCACTAAGCAAATTTTTTCTCACTAAATGTAGGTTATCAGCCATATCTTTAAGGGATGGGGGCAAGGGTGTTGAATAAAATGAGGCAAAGAGGCAGTCTAGTTCCTAAGCAAAGGGGCAAGGCAACATGCCTTTACATTGAGAAATTACAGCATCGTCCACTGGGCTTTACTTGTTTTTTCCAAGAGCAAACAAACTTCTATTAATGAAAAGGAAATTATAGTGTGTGTAATGATTATAGCTTTTTATTGGTGCGTCTTCAAGTTATGAGAGCTTTTTCTTCTCTCTTTTCACTGTATAAATAGTTGGATGAAGTACTATATCTAACATTTTACTTTTCCCTTCTGCCGTCGTGTGTAATACTGCAAAGAGGCAGTCTAGTTCCTAAGCTAAGGGGCAAGGCAACATGCCTTTACATTGAGAAATTACAGCATCGTCCACTGGGCTTTGGGTATATTTAACATCAACAAGATATCCTTTTGTATCTATATGCATTAGGATCCCAATTTCCATTGATCTCTCAGTTCGACAAATAAAAATTAGAGGAGAAGCGATCCTTGACATCAACAAGATGCTCATCTTTAAGATATTTTCCATTCAGAGTCTGCATAGTGTGGTCCAATTATTGAATTGCTTGATTGCGATGAAAAGTTTTTTTAGTGCTGTCGAAGTAACTGCTGGGAACAGGTGCTTAAAGTTCCATAATCGTTCTATCCCCTTTCTCTTAGCCGTTGCCATATTTTCTGAACGGTGTTATGATCTGTTAGCTATTGCTTTCCTCGTTGCTCTCTAGTTGAAGTTCTATTATTGATTTCTGTTCTTTCTGAACAGTTTGTTTCACGTTGTGGTTGAAAATGATGAAATATCAACACAGATAATTAAGCACCTTAATTCATTCAAGGGTGGACGAGTGACATTTATCCCCCTAGATAGGGTGAAGGCTCCACGGGTAACTTATCCACAGAATTCAGATGTGCTTTTTCTGTTAAAGAAGGTAAAGTTTGCTCCAAACTTCAACCCAGCATTTGCCCAGGTTAGCTTCGACCTGATTTATCTTGTAAAATCATTGGTTAGTGTTGGGTCCATGTCAGATTGGTGATATCATTTTGGTAGTTGAGAGTGCGTTTGTTAGAGGTTATGTGGTTAAATCCTTGGTTGTAGAACCACTAATTTAGCAATTTCTGCTTCAAAGGTGGATCTTTGTTGTTTATTGTGTTGTTCCTCTATTGATTTCTGTTTTTAATTTGGGGGTAACTTATATTTTTAATCTTCAATGGTGGGTCATAATGAGTTCTTATCTCTGTTAGGTACTTGCAAGAACAGTTGTTTGTTGAGATCTGGATGTGGCTACAAAGGTTGCTCACGCCGATGGTCTAGACTGCATTACTTTGGAAGGTTTAAGATAGAGCTACAGACTCTCTCTGCGTTATCTGTTGCACAATATTATAATTATTAGTTCTAAACCTTGAAGTTTGTGTGTACAATCATACAGAACACAAAATCTATTAACATGAAGGAGGAATAAAGGGAGAAAGTTAGATTTATGCTTCAAGATATCCTTTTGGAAAATGATTTCATATGCATGCTTCAAGATTTGACCGCAAATATATTTAACATCAACAAGATATCCTTTTGTATCTATATGCATTAGGATCCCAATTTCCATTGATCTCTCAGTTCGAGAAATAAAAATTAGAGGAGAAGCGATCCTTGACATCAACAAGATGCTCATCTTTAAGATATTTTCCATTCAGAGTCTGCATAGCCATGACTTGCTGAATAAGTCTTCACCTCGTTGTGTCCAACGAAGCCTGGCTCATCAGACTTGATTTCTTTAACCCCACTACCCATGGCTTTGGTCTCAGAAAATTCCCAAAACATAGTCCAACAACTCAAGTTTAATGCAAATGTTAGGCCTACAGCTACATAGAAGCACAATGTCCTGCCCTAAACCAAGAACGCAAAAACAAGAAAACATATTGGATATCCATCTTTACTTGTTTATTTTACTAGAATTTTTCAATTACATAGACAGAATTTCTAGGGGGAGTAAAAACATGCATCTTTCTTTACATGAAATCTACTGAAGGCGATCATGGGGAAGGGATTTAAAAAACCCATCTAAGCTGATGACGTTCTTTCTCTTTAAAAACTGGGAGTACCAGTGAGCAGAGAGTTTGGGTTGTCTTCTTAAATCATGAAATATCAACACAGATAATTAAGCACCTTAATTCATTCAAGGGTGGACGAGTGACATTTATCCCCCTAGATAGGGTGAAGGCTCCACGGGTAACTTATCCACAGAATTCAGATGTGCTTTTTCTGTTAAAGAAGGTAAAGTTTGCTCCAAACTTCAACCCAGCATTTGCCCAGGTTAGCTTCGACCTGATTTATCTTGTAAAATCATTGGTTAGTGTTGGGTCCATGTCAGATTGGTGATATCATTTTGGTAGTTGAGAGTGCGTTTGTTAGAGGTTATGTGGTTAAATCCTTGGTTGTAGAACCACTAATTTAGCAATTTCTGCTTCAAAGGTGGATCTTTGTTGTTTATTGTGTTGTTCCTCTATTGATTTCTGTTTTTAATTTGGGGGTAACTTATATTTTTAATCTTCAATGGTGGGTCATAATGAGTTCTTATCTCTGTTAGGTACTTGCAAGAACAGTTGTTTGTTGAGATCTGGATGTGGCTACAAAGGTTGCTCACGCCGATGGTCTAGACTGCATTACTTTGGAAGGTTTAAGATAGAGCTACAGACTCTCTCTGCGTTATCTGTTGCACAATATTATAATTATTAGTTCTAAACCTTGAAGTTTGTGTGTACAATCATACAGAACACAAAATCTATTAACATGAAGGAGGAATAAAGGGAGAAAGTTAGATTTATGCTTCAAGATATCCTTTTGGAAAATGATTTCATATGCATGCTTCAAGATTTGACCGCAAATATATTTAACATCAACAAGATATCCTTTTGTATCTATATGCATTAGGATCCCAATTTCCATTGATCTCTCAGTTCGAGAAATAAAAATTAGAGGAGAAGCGATCCTTGACATCAACAAGATGCTCATCTTTAAGATATTTTCCATTCAGAGTCTGCATAGCCATGACTTGCTGAATAAGTCTTCACCTCGTTGTGTCCAACGAAGCCTGGCTCATCAGACTTGATTTCTTTAACCCCACTACCCATGGCTTTGGTCTCAGAAAATTCCCAAAACATAGTCCAACAACTCAAGTTTAATGCAAATGTTAGGCCTACAGCTACATAGAAGCACAATGTCCTGCCCTAAACCAAGAACGCAAAAACAAGAAAACATATTGGATATCCATCTTTACTTGTTTATTTTACTAGAAATTTTCAATTACATAGACAGAATTTCTAGGGGGAGTAAAAACATGCATCTTTCTTTACATGAAATCTACTGAAGGCGATCATGGGGAAGGGATTTAAAAAACCCATCTAAGCTGATGACGTTCTTTCTCTTTAAAAACTGGGAGTACCAGTGAGCAGAGAGTTTGGGTTGTCTTCTTAAATCAGGGTCATCCAAATCGATGTAGTAGAGGCCGTAGCTTGATTCATAGCCGTCCAGCAGCTCAAGGGAATCCAAGAAGGACCATATAAAATAGCCTCTGACGTTTGATCCATTCCTTCCAAAGTAAATATTTCATAGCATCCATTAGTAATTTAAAAGTTAGGTACTTGCAAGAACAGTTGTTTGTTGAGATCTGGATGTGGCTACAAAGGTTGCTCACGCCGATGGTCTAGACTGCATTACTTTGGAAGGTTTAAGATAGAGCTACAGACTCTCTCTGCGTTATCTGTTGCACAATATTATAATTATTAGTTCTAAACCTTGAAGTTTGTGTGTACAATCATACAGAACACAAAATCTATTAACATGAAGGAGGAATAAAGGGAGAAAGTTAGATTTATGCTTCAAGATATCCTTTTGGAAAATGATTTCATATGCATGCTTCAAGATTTGACCGCAAATATATTTAACATCAACAAGATATCCTTTTGTATCTATATGCATTAGGATCCCAATTTCCATTGATCTCTCAGTTCGAGAAATAAAAATTAGAGGAGAAGCGATCCTTGACATCAACAAGATGCTCATCTTTAAGATATTTTCCATTCAGAGTCTGCATAGCCATGACTTGCTGAATAAGTCTTCACCTCGTTGTGTCCAACAAGGCCTGGCTCATCAGACTTGATTTCTTTAACCCCACTACCCATGGCTTTGGTCTCAGAAAAGTCCCAAAACATAGTCCAACAACTCAAGTTTAATGCAAATGTTAGGCCTACAGCTACATAGAAGCACAATGTCCTGCCCTAAACCAAGAACGCAAAAACAAGAAAACATATTGGATATCCATCTTTACTTGTTTATTTTACTAGAAATTTTCAATTACATAGACAGAATTTCTAGGGGGAGTAAAAACATGCATCTTTCTTTACATGAAATCTACTGAAGGCGATCATGGGGAAGGGATTTAAAAAACCCATCTAAGCTGATGACGTTCTTTCTCTTTAAAAACTGGGAGTACCAGTGAGCAGAGAGTTTGGGTTGTCTTCTTAAATCAGGGTCATCCAAATCGATGTAGTAGAGGCCGTAGCTTGATTCATAGCCGTCCAGCAGCTCAAGGGAATCCAAAAAGGACCATATAAAATAGCCTCTGACGTTTGATCCATTCCTTCCAAAGTAAATATTTCATAGCATCCATTAGTAATTTAAAAACAGGTATTATATCTTTCCGCATCTCATAAACACCTTGATTTGGACTTGGCCAGTTAGCCTTCACAAAATGGAGAAAACATGAAAAATCATATAACCCTCGGCTTAAATTATAATCGACAGAAAATAGGTATACCTTACAGCTTCAAGCAAAGTTTGGATGTGTCCGTCCAAATATTTCACCCTTGGCCAATCCTCTAACGATGAATTGCGTCGAGTTCGTTGACCTAGAATATATTGGATGCCAGATTTTTTTCATTAAATTTCACCATTTTGAAGAGTTTATTTGTTTTTATCTTTGTGCTGCGTTATGTTTTCTCACATTATATATGTCTTCATATAAATTCACTCTAGCAGTACTTAGATTAAAATTCACTATTTAGGGGGGAGAGAGAGAGAGAGAGAGAGACCATTTTCATGGATATATATTGGAGGATTTCCATAGTTTTGCTTGACATATTCCAGCAGTCGTTGCAGGCCCCAGGGAGTTATTGGAAACTGAAATCAAAGAAACCGATCAGTAATAAGGCTCTGAAATTAACCCCATAAGCAGTGAATTGATTATGTTCAAGCTTCTACCTCAAATGTTGTATCATTTTGTAGACCTGCACGAGAAATTAAAGAAAGTTTGAAAGCTATCACATGAACAATGCACAAATATTCCTTGCACATGAGCAATGAACAAAAAGAAAAAATGAACAATGCACAAACAACCATCACAAACACAAAAAATGAACATTGTGATTTCGAAATATCTTCATAGAGGCTAATTTTGTTTATGATATACTTTAGCATATTTCAGTCATTCATATCATATTTGGGACTACACACTCCTTGCCTATGCAGTGTCTGCTTGAAGTGCCGAGTTTTCTAGGGTTTGCGTCGTACTTTTATTTTTAGTAAAAAAGGAAAAGGAAAAGAAAAGGCCATCAGCATGGTACAGAAAATTCACAAATTTGAACAGAAAAAGGCATCTGTATACATACTACATCAGTTTTCTCCCTACACAACATGCATCCTTTAAAGAAAGGACATCCCGGTAAAATATTTCTAACATAATATCTCTTTACTTTTCTATCAATGCTACTGGCACATTGTAGGGGACAAGGTGTCACGCAAGTGCTTTTAGATATTGAATGGAGAAAGCAGTGTCCAAGAATTTAATCACACTCTAATCTCCTTAAATCCTAAGGTGCAGACACCCTCCAAAGTGACTGAATTTAGACCAATAAGCCTGTGTACAATGATTTACAAAATTATTGCAAAGGCTTTTGCAAATAGACTCAAGTATTTATTGCCTTCCTTTATCTCAGAGTCGCAAAGTGCTTTTGTACCCCAACGTTTAATTCTTGATAATGTGATCTCAGAGTCGCAAAGTCGCAAAGTGCTATGCCCACCTACTCGATGAGCTACTTTTGGATGCCTAAGGGGATGTGTAAGGAGCTTCATGGCATGATGGCTAAATTCTGGTGGTCTAAGAGTAAGAATATGCGAGGTATTCATTGGACTAAGTGGGAAACATTATGTGTGAGCAAGTAGATTGGAGGATTGGGATTTAGAGACCTTGAGGCTTTTAATCAATCTCTCCTTGCAAAACAAAGTTGGATATTATTTTTTAATTGTAATTCCTTCACAGCGAGAATTTTTAAGGCATGATATTTTCCGCATCGTAATTTTCTAGATGCTGGGGAGGGGTATCGACCCTCACTTATTAGGAGTTCAGTGATCTGGGGTAAGGATTTGTTGAAGGTGGGTTTGCAGTGGAGAGTGGGAAATGGTGAAGATATACAGGTTTATCAGGATCGTTGGGTGCCTTTACCAATGAATTTCAAGATTATCTCAAGGCCACAATTTGATGCTTCTATGAAAGTATGTGAACTGTTTACTACAGCAGGGCAATGGGATAAGGAGTTACTAAAAGCTAATTTTTGGGAACAGGAAGTGGAGGCTATCCTCCAAATTCCATTGGCTTCAAATAATACAAAGGATAAATTAATTTGGCACTATGATCGAAGCGGTGAATACTCAGTCAAAAGTGGTTATATGGTTGCATGCATGAAGAAGCAACGGGAAAATGGCATGGAAGGGTCCTCGGTACAAGATGAAAAATTGTTATGGAAAAAATTGTGGAGTTTGCAGGTGCCTAATAAGATCAAATTCTTTCTATGGAGATGTATATTGGTGTTTTTGCCTAGCAGACAAAATCTTTACCATAAGAAGATCTTGAATTCTCCAATATGTCCACGTTGTGGGAAGAAAGTGGAGTCAATTATTCATGCAATATGGGCTTGTAATGAAGTGAAAGCAATATGGTCTTTTTCACACTGGAGTGCAAGTCTACATGAGTGGAGAATCTGGTTGAAGATATCAAGGAGATGCAGGGATGGTTTAGATTATTCTCGTATAACTAGCAACGACAAGATGGTAACAAGGTTGCTCATGTGCTAGCAATATGGGACTAGGAACGCTAGTTTTTCCACGTGGATTGAGGAGGAGCCATTATGGCTGATTTCTTTGCTTTCTACAGAGATTTTCCTCCATTTTTGGGGGTTTTTTATGCTAAAGGTTTTTTACAGTAGAAGTAGTGAGGTATCCTCTTGAGGGTTCTGTTATGATTTTCTTGGCAATGTACAAGTCTAGGTTTAGGTTGCTGTTACATCCCTAGGTGCAGATGGTGTTGGAAAAGTTGGGTTATGTGCCAAGGCAATATAACCCCAAACAAGTATTCCGTCTCCAGACAAAAAGGCAATTTTGGGTGGGTTCAGGCTAACTGCTGAAGGGCGATAGGCCCAAGCTTGCACAGCTTTTTGCCTTCTTTTCCGTGAATTATGCTGTTTGATTATTGAATAAAATTCCTTTCATAAAAAACAAAAAAAAAACATATATAATATCTCAACTGGTGGATACATGCATTAGACATGACATTGAAATATTAATAATGCATATGCACATTATTGACACAGTTTTGATATGCGTCATATATTGACATGTTATCGACATGTTATTAATGCATATGTCCTTTAACTAAAGGATTTAAGGACTGTTGATGTCCAAAATTGGGTTCAACTTAGATAGAAGAAGTGTGGAGTCATCAATAGAATTAGGGGGTTGTGGACCTACGGCAAAGGGAATCTTCGGTCACAAGGTGATCCTGCTGAAGAAGGATGGAAGAAACAATCGTCAAGCTTCAAGTACCGGTGTGATACCTACCGAAAGCTCTCCAATACTTAAGTCAGCGAGTGTGGGGTACACAATAATTTTGATAGAGTAATAGTAAAGGTGAAAAGTAGTTACTTTTTTACTTGGGCATTATTCCTCTTTTATAGAGAAATGAAAGTGAGGGTTTGCACAAAGTTTTGATATGGGACTTTGTGCAAATCATTGTGGTGGCGACATGTGTCCAAGGCTTAGGTTCTATAGTTGAGAGCTTCGGCAACCATCTTCGGTGGGCAATTTCCGCATCGGAAGAAGGTATCTTTTCGGCATGCTGGGATCATGATGACATCATCGCAGTGAAAGAATGAGGTGACCTTGGCCATGCATCATCAGGAGATGCCCCTGGTAAAGCTACCGACTTCTCAGATCGTGTGCAGAAGACAGTCTTGTCTTCGGCCAACGTAAGCGCCGAAACTATTTGTTATTGTTTGCTGACAACAATTATTTTCTGACAACTGTGTGGTCATCTGCATGCTTTTTGGGTGATGTATCTGACCCTAGCTAGGGCAGACAAGGAGGTGGAGATGGCGAGGCGTCAGACGGAGGCGGTGATGGCGAGGCTTCAGACAGAGACGGCGAAGGCTGCTGCTGCTGAAGCCCAAGCAGCAATCTGTGAGAAGAACGCCTTGCAGCTAAAGACCAAATAGATTTGAAAGGGAGTTCAAGGAGATGAAGAAGCTGGGGGTGGCAGAGGAGGCGTTGGCCGAAGCCGACTAAAGTGAAGGAGGTCGCTGCTGCTCATACCGAGGTGGTGAAGGAGTACAAGGCTTCAGATGAGTTCAAGAAAATCTAGCATAGGTCCAATGAGGTCTAGCCCTCACTATGCGAATAGTCATGTCATTGGTGTTAACGATTCGACATGGAGCTGAGGGATGGCAAACCCTTGGCATTTGTTGCATTTTTGGGTGAAGACTTGGGCATCAATATGGATGGTAGGCCAAAAATATCTCAGCCTAATGACCTTGTGGGCGAGAGATTAGGCACCAGAATAGTTGCTACAGTTGCCTTCTTTTGGTGTGAGGCACCGAAGGTAGAAGAGGCTGAAACCGCACTTGTATAAGGCTTTATTAATGATTAGGTATCGGGCTGAAAGGTATCAAATGCGACGTGCTTCATCAAGGTCGCAGGCAATGTTTGATTATGTAGGAATTGGAATGTGGGATCCATCTATGTTGCACTGTGGTTAATGGTGTATATGGCAGCCGTTTGTGTGTTGGGTGTCTCTAGGAATTCAACATGGATCTTACAACCGAGGCTTTGGTCCACAGATGAAGCCAACCTTGCCAAGGCATCAACGTGGCTGTTCTCAGAGTGTGGGATCTGACTGATGGGATAAGCGTTGAAGGTTTACAGCAACTGATGGTCATACTAGAGGTATGTTGTCATGGAAGTGTCTTTGACAAAGAAGTCATGATTGACATGATGAACAACCAGTTGAGAGTCGCTGAATATCTGAATCTATCTAGCTCCCATGTCTTTGGCTAGCTGAAGACCGGCTAATAATGCTTCATATTCTGCCACGTTATTGGTAGTCTAAAAGTTGAAGGGCGTACTCCAGAACCATCTTATTTGGAGAAGTGAGGACCAAGCCTACCCCACAGGCTTGGGAGTTGGAAGATCCATCGACATGAAGGGTCCATAATGACTCACTGAGGTCAAAGTTGCATGCAGCAACAAGATGGACGAGATTCGGGGTTGACGTAGGTTCGGCAATATTAGCGGTCTTCCTGGACAGAGAAAATCACTATATAATATACACATATATAAGCAAAAACTTACGCATAATCTTTATTCCTGAGTCTGCATTAAAGTCTCTCTTTTCCGTCTTTAAGCTGCTAGAGTAGTCCTTGGCGTATAATGTGTTATAATAATTAATTCCCAGGAAGTCACATGAACCTTTCACACTTTGGGACTCCAAACTAGTAAAGGCAGGAAGTCTAGAGCCTACGTTCTTTTTCATTACATCAGGGTAATCTCCAAACACCAAGGGATTCAAAATCCTACAACACAAAACAGATACATGAGAATTACACTTTGGATGATATTGCATTTGAAGACAACTAATAAATTATCAACATCCATTGAGGAATCCCCTAAATAAGCTTATTTGAGGAACACTCTTGTAGGGCTCATTCCGCATTGTATTTCACTAATCCAAACCGTCTATTTTGTAGATATTCATTCAAAGATCTCTACAAAAAAATCACTTAAATCTGATATCATTTAACCATTCAATTAAATTATTGAAATTCAAGTACTTTCTTGAAGCACCGTATTCATTGATTTTGTTGGTCTCAATTAGATGCCTTAATGATTTTCAATTTGCATTATTTTTTGCAAGAATGATCTCTGAATGAATATGTGAAAAATAGATGGTTTGGATCGTTGAAAAAAAAATTATAGGGGACCCTAAAGGGTGTCCCTCAAATAATTTTATTTGAGGGATCCCTCGATAAAAGGAGACTCTATATATATAGAGTCCCGCACGGTTAACACTATTTGAGGAACACCATGTTAGCCCCATTTCACATTATATTTCAAACAAGCATGTGTGTAGATTAGAAGATAACTGTTACATAGAGAGAGAGAGAGAGAGAGGTGGAATTCCACAATTCCACTTTTTATGTCAGTTTCAGACTTACCAACCAGAATAAAAGTCGAGGGCTCTTTGGGCAGCAAGTTCATCTTCAATGGTTTTTGTTAGAGGAACAAACCAATAGGCAAATACATTGATTCCTACAAATCCATGTTGCTTGTCCTGCATCCCAAAAATTTCATTACATTGATCAACTTTTTTTTTTTCTGTGAGAAATCTTCTTTTATTAGGAGCCTTAATGTTACTAGTAGTCTTTGTTTTATTAGGTCTGGTATCTTTCAGTTTCTTTATCTCTTAGTTTATGCGAGTCTGTATTGTCTGCTTTTTGAATGGTCGTATCTTTATCACTACATAGTATAAGTAGGAGGGCAACAATCTAGTGCAGAGTTTTCTCTTCTTATATATGTTTTTTTTTTTTCAAGGACCTTTTCTATTGAGAGAAGCGATAGAATACTAAACTCACACACACTACAAGGATGCTAGGACTCGAACCTAGGACCTTCTAGAAGGAGCATTTGCTCTAAACCACTACACTAGTGAATCCTTTGCTTCTTTTATATGTTTTTAATTGAAAGGAAACTATTGTAGATATAACTAAGACGTAGAGTAGAGGTAAAAAAAAAATTGCAAAAATAGTTGAGAAGTCTTCTCTACTATTTGTCTCTTGATATTCCCATTTCCCCTCAATTTATGTTTTTGTTTTTTCGGCTTCTAACTATAGTCTTACTTGTAAAGGTCTGATGTTCTTAAATGAAAATCGAAAGGCCTAAGTGACAGTGGCGGTGGAACTTTTGTACAACCATCGGATTTCAGGACATAAAACATATCAGGATTGTATTCTTAACTATCACAAAGATAAAAGGTTTTATAATTACCTGGTACTTTTTCTTGTACAATCTAGCTGCCGATGCATGAGATAGCAATAGATGATGAGCTGCAATGTATGGCTCTACTGAGGAGTTACCCCTAGAACAATTCACACCAAATGGAGCTGAACACCGTTGTGGCGGAAGTAATCCAATATCATAACCCGCAAGTGAAAAAATATTAAGTTCATTAATGGTAGTCCAATACAGAACTCTGTCGCCAAAATTTTTGAAGCATACATCTGCATATGCTGTGAAGTCTTTTCTGCAGCCATAAAATTGTTTCGTCACATTCGTTTATGTTTCCTCTTGATGCATTAAATTTACCAAAAAAAGGTAAGAAACTATACACAATCTCTTGACCAACCCATCCTCCATACTCATCTTCAAGTGCTTGTGGGAGATCACTGTGGTGTAAAGTAACATGTGGCTGAATTCCTGCTTGAAATAAAGAATACTAAGATCAGTGATTTGGAAGTGGCATTTTTTGTTTTTAAATCCCAAGGAAATTGTAAAATTCATGTAGATAGTAACCATTGCTGATTAGTTCATCGATAAGATTGTTATAATATTGTAGACCCTTCGGATTGACAGGTCCTTTTCCATCTGAAAGAAAAAGCAAATTTAATACTTAAGTGCGACAATAATGAGTAAAAATTGTTTGAAAGAGTATCAATTGGATGATCATACTTGGGATAAGTCTTGACCATGAGATTGAAAATCTATATGCCTCTAAACCAGTATCCGCCATTAGTTTGACATCTTCCTGCAATTGTTTGAAAGAACTTGATCATGTGAAGTGTATTAGTTAGCATCAATGCCTTTTTCATTAGCTGTTTTGGTAATGAATCTTGTGATTGCATATAGGATGATATGGTTTCGTGCAAAAAGAAAAGGAAAAAAAAACAGTTGAGTAGTAAATGAAAGGATTGCCAACAAAAACTAAATTCAATTTCATTAGTTATAGACCTTGTATTTGTGATACCCATCACAAGCTACATCTCCAGTGGCTCCATGATAATTCCCTGAAAATTTCAGTTCAGAAATGTCACTTGGCTTGCAAACTGAGAAAATTACGTACGAGCTATAAAAGCTAGCTAACCAGCATGAGTATATGTGTCGAAGATGCTTGGGGTCCTCCCATCTTCGTCTGCAGCACCTTCCACCTTTTTTCATGTAGATTTTTGAACCAGCCCAACCCCATTACTTGATCAGCTTCTTCTCTTGATCTTGTTTCAATTGATAAAAATAAAAATAAAAAAATTGAAGGAAATTAAGAAAATTAACCTGATAAGCAGAGGAGGAAGCACCGAAAACAAAGCCCGGTGGGAAGTCATCTCTGCTAAAGTTATCTGTGCCTGAAGAAAGATTTATGAGAAGAAAACACAGCAGAAGTGAAACTTCCGACATTGATTCCAACTGCCAAACCCACTGCTTATTGCTTAAGCCAAGTTCAACTTATTAGTAGGATATGGAGTATATTTTGAGAAAATTAGAAGGCAGACTCACAGTTACAAAAAGAGATTTGAGCGGCCACCCTTTACCTCTATCCTTACTTCAGTTTACCACAACGCTCCACGTCGATCATAACTTTCCACGTCGATATACCAGTTAACTCCAAACATAACTTTCCACGTCGATTTTCCAGTTAACTCCAAATCTGCTTTTTATTTTTATTTTTCCTTGGAATGTCACGAGACTACAATTTTTTATTTTTTCTCCCAAATCTTGTTCCTCGACAGTCCGAGTCCCCATTTTTTCACAATTATAAAAATTCCGAATTTTAGAATTTGTTAGGCTTTTTAAGTACCCGTTTGGTATTGTGCGGTAATCAGATTTGAGGAGGCGATGAATTTAATGAAAATTACAAAATTCTGAAAGAGTTTTTCTATTTAAACCCCACACTTCTCTTTGTTCACCCCATGTTCTAAGTTCACCCAAACTTCTAATTCAAATATTCACAATTTCTAAGAAAACCCCACTATCTTTCCAAAACTACCCTCAAATTAAGTATTAATTTGCACACACCCCACTTAACCCTAGGATTGATCTAATAACTTATTAAGTTCCTATTTCGTCAATTTTGTAGTTTGGCTAATTCAACTGGAACCCACCTCCTATACCCCAAAGAACAATTCCTGAACCCAAGGGGCAGGACCTTGATTTTGTTAATGTTGCAAACAGCCATATAATTCACTCTGTCTGGGCTAAGCTCAATTCCTTGTCTAATGGTCTAATTGCTTTCAGAGTGAAACATATACTGCTAAAGATTTAAGCAGGACTATGTTCTTTTCCTAGAGTTTTTCAATTGGGTTGCAGCTCAAAACCCCCGTTAAGGGATATGGAAGTTCCATGCCCAGCAGTTTGGGGTGTTTCCCAATTTCCCATTTTATCAATCTCCCAGAACTTAAATCAATTCACCAACCAAAACCCTAAAATCCCAATTTCTCATTGTTTAAGCAGTCGAACCATGACGATATATTAGCTGGTTACAGTCCTCTGGATTTGATGGGCAAGGCCGTGTGGGGAGTAGGAGGGGTGGTGCGCGGTGGGATATTGAGCCGTGCACTTGAACTTGTTCTCAGTGGGGTGTGTGTATAGATGTACTAGGGTTCAGTATTAAGTTGGATAACCGTTTTTGTCTTTTTACAAAAAATAAAACTTAACATCTTAATGATTTAAGTATTGGGGTCAACAAAGAGAAGTGTGGGGTTTAAATAGAAAAACTCATTCTGAAAATACCCCAATATGATTACACGCTCTCCTCTTCTTCGTGCGTCTTCTCCATCCCACGCCACAAGAAAAGAAAGAAAAAGCTGAAGCACATGAGGACAACAAAAGAAAAGAAAGCAAAAGCGTTGGAGAACGTACATGTGATTTACTAGTTTGATACGTTTGCTGTTTTGTAAAAACAAAACCCATTTTTCTTTCATAGATTGAAGAACTGCCATTCATTTTCTTTTCTCATTTGGAACCTGGGAAAATACCACATACCCAATTGCTTAAAGTCTTTGATTTTCTGTGGATAACCAGGGAAATAGCTACAATTTGGTAAGCAATTCATTTGGTTTGCTTTTAATTTTGTTGTGATTTTGAAAATCATTGTCTGGGTTTTCGTTTACTGTCTTCTGTTGCCTGAAAACTTTAATTGTTATTGAATTTTGTTTACTTTTAATCAGCTGCTTTCTTTCTGTACAGGCTTGCATAAGTTATTTTATATATTCATTGCTTCCTATTTATTGCATTCTCATATTACTAAATTTTGTGGACTAGAAACATTGTCTAGTTTGAACTTTTGTGGTAAGCAATTTTTATGTATCAAATTCGGTTTAGATTCTCAATTTAATTCGTGTATATGCGTGTCTATGCTTGTATTCATGTGTGCATATATACGGAGAGGGATTCAAATATGAGACACAATGTTTGAGCTCACCCTGCAATGCTCGCAAACATCATCCAAATTGGAAAACATTTAGCCATGTGATAACAATCACAATTATTTAGCCAGAAATTATTCAATGACAAATGAGACAAATTGTTCCCGTTGTTGGAAGTTTAAAAGCAAATTATCCCACATCGGAGGAAACAAATGGTTTTATGCTTTAAAAGCATGATACTTTTACACCAATCAAAAAAGATTGGTGGGCTGATGGGCTTGTTAGTGAAGGCTATGCATGGTTGGCTTGATTAATAATATTTAATTAATCAAGACTTGGGCCTTGGGTTCTTTGGAAAAACTACTACAAACACTCAGCCTAAAAATAAAATTATTTTATTTTATTTTTTGGGTTTCTTATAACATAAGTTAAAAAATACATAGCGTCCATACAATAATAACATTCAACGTCCGCATAGGAGAATTTCTGAAGATATATATATATGCTCTCCTAGGGCCTTTTGGTTTGTAAATTGTTTTCTTGTATTGGGCTGTGTCCCTTTTCTTTGGTTCATATACTATTCGTTTACCCAAAGAAAAAAAAAATCTGTACTCAGCCTGAAAATAAAATTATTTTATTTTATTTTTTGGGTTTCTTATAACATAAGTTAAAAAATACATGGCGTCCATACAATAATAACATTCAACGTCCGCATAGGAGAATTTCTGAAGATATATATATATGCTCTCCTAGGGCCTTTTGGTTTGTAAATTGTTTTCTTGTATTGGGCTGTGTCCCTTTTCTTTGGTTCATATACTATTCGTTTACCCAAAGAAAAAAAAAATCTGTTCACTTCAGAGGAAAGGAAAAGTGGAAACTTTATATTCATAGATTCATCAATCTATCAGAACAAGTATAAAGTACAATCTCACTACTCAAAAAACAAGTATAACTATAATGTGTCATCATGTTTTCGTATACCAAATCCCTAGAAAGCACATTTGCACTACATATATATATATATATGTACGAAAGTTGCTTCTGCAAATGAGGAAAATAAAACTCATTCCAATTTTGTGTTTGAATTTGTTATCCTGTGAGGATGGTTCAAATGCTTGGCCCCATGATGCTCTGGTTTATGTGGTTGAGTTCGTAATGTGTTCTTTGTGTGGAGGCGTTCCAATGTGGCTAGAACATCAATCATGAGTGGCCTGTACTTCGGGTCTGTATGGAGGCACTGTAAAGCAAGTTCAGCTGCAGTTTGTGCTGCTTTCTTGGGGTATTGACCTCCCAACCTTGTGTCCATGATTCTTAAGACTCGTTTTGTATCAATTAAGAATGGCTTTGCCCAATCCACCAATGTTTCCTCAACACTCCCAGCCCTCTCATCATCCATTGCTCGTCTTCCTGTTAGTAGCTCTAACAACACAACCCCGAAGCTATACACATCACTCTTTGGTGTCAAGTGACCTGCAGCTCGTTTTGAGCCGTAAAACAAAGAGGAACGACAATTTCATTCAGTAAATACATTATGATTTCCATAACAAACAAAAAATTGTATTAAGTGGATAAAACTTATGTAGTTTAAGTTTTCATTCTTCAGGTACCATTTCATTTCTTTTGTTTCTCCTTCTTATGAGCATCTTTATAATTTCTCTTTAAGTTCACCAGCATTTCTTCATGTTTGTTCTCGTTTTTATGTAATCCGGCTTAGTAATTAGTCAAATAAGTCAGCATATTATGAAGTAAAACATCAAGCCTTTCCTTTTTCTTTTTTGTTAAAATCCAGAAAGTTTTTAATCATCATTTCATTTGTCATGAGTCTATTGGTATACAAGTTAAATCGCAGTTCCTCAAGATTTTTTATGTCAGTGAATAAGAAATCCAACATGCAATGTATGATTGATATCATTACCTAGTAGTTTTCTCATCCTATGAAAATTATTTTCACCAATTGTTCTATGTGGTTGACGGCGTCTTCTTTTCTTTTTGTTCTCTCTTTTCCAGGATTATCGGTGAAAATATTATGGATGCAGTTGAAAAATAACACTGACCTGTAGCAACATATTCTGGTGCAGCATAGCCTCGAGTTCCGACCACCCTGGTTGAAACATGAGTGTTGTCTCCAGTAGGACCATCTCTTGCTAACCCAAAATCCGAAAGCCTTGCATTGAAATCCTGCATACATCAGATGAAAACTCCTCAGGCTTGTGATTATAGTTCAGCAATCGTTCACAAACTGGAGCTTTTGATGTCTAAGCATACCGAATCAAGTAAAATGTTTGAAGCTTTCAAGTCACGATAGATAACATTAGCATCTAAACTATGTAGGAAGGACAACCCCCTTGCCACATCAATTGCAATATTCATCCGCACAGCCCAACTGATGGGTTGAACACCTTCTGCAGAAGAATAAACAAAAACAAGGTAACGATTTGGTACTTTACTAGCGAAAAACAAAGTTTATTTGACAACAGCTTCCTATTTTGTGGTTGATGCAATATAGTTTTCCGCTGATGGATCAAAGAGCAGCATAAGGGATCACTGTTGTAAAATTAGAAAGAAAAGTCTAAACAGAGGAACAGAAACATGCAATTATCTCCACCATTCTAAATGCTAAGAACAGATCAATGCATTTGCCACATAGATCTCTTGGCTAAATGGATCCTTATATAGCTTTCAAACTGGGATCATTTACCAGGAATAGTTATGAAAGCAGTAATAATCGAGAATGCCAAAATATCTTTCCGATTTCCGTTGAGCAAATTTTATGGTGCCCAAACTGGTCAAAATATGTTCTTCATTTCTATCTTCATAAGAAATGAAGAAAATGGTGTCTGTTTCTCTTAACTGTGGCTACCAATCTTTTTGGTCCACAAACCTGTTCAAGTTCTAGCCGGATTACTGGTCATGGTTAAACGAAAGACAGCAGGTCATCTCATCAGCCCAGAAGTCTCTACAAAAATTTCATCAAAGAACATAAATTTGTTCAAATTTGGCTACTTCTTTACAAAGGATGCTACCCAATTGCATGCAAGAAAATCTATCTACTTGTTATTAAAAACTAAAAAGTTAACTGGAGGGATATTAATAAGGATTCAGCAAAGGTGGTTAGTAAAAAT